TGGGTTCCTGAAAAACAAGGGAGAGTGTGTGCACTCTTCTTGCTACCTGCTTGCAGATTTCCACCCCCATACCTGGAGGACAATTTGTTGTGCCCCAAATGTGTTCGTAGGTAATTACCTAGTGCTTTTCTACATACTAAAAGTGGGAACCTGGCTTTTAGTTGAGCAAGAGGGAAGAATGCATGTTAATCTTAATTAGCCCTGTATTTCAAGCATAAGTTATCAGTCAAGAGTTTCAAGGAAAGTATTACCCATAATATATTCCTAGGAAAAAGCTGAGCATCTATCCGTTTGGGCTTGATGCTTCTACCTGGAGACCCATAATTTTAGAGAAATAAACATTTATTATTACTATGTTTCAGGTATATACACCACGGAAAAATAATGACAAAAAAAAAACACAAACTCTTTAAGTAAAGTAGCTTACAGCCTAATGGGGATAATTGGTTTGTAAGTAACTGTCATACCATGTGGTAACTGGTATCACTTAAGGGAATAAGTAACTAGGATGGAAAGGAGTTAAGGTCATTTTTCAGTATAGAGACCAGAGCCAAGGCTGTGAAAGAATTTAGGACAATATAACAATTGCGAATAGTTCAGTATGACACAATATGGCGATATACAGTGGAAAATAAGCCTTATTTGTATCACTTACCTAATGAGCATAATAATGCCTACCTGAAGATATTGTGAAAATTAAATGAGCAAACATGAAAAAAAGCACACATGCAAAACTTTGCAAAGAATTTCTGGGTGTCACGGATAGACAAGGAATCCGGAGTCAGGCCACTCATCCCTGGGTGATGGGCCACTGAAGGATTTAAAGCAAATAAATGGGCTGAGGCTTACACTGCCAAGGAGGGAAGGATATAAGACCTATTAGAAAAGTCTTGTGGGAAAATTCAGTTATTCATTGTTTAAAGGGTCTGGCACATTCTATAGGTGCCCAAAAAAGAAATCTGATGTCTAGGTGATTATTTGGTAGTTATTTAAATATTGATAAGGGTATAGTTACACTGGGGCTGAGGACAGCTTCAAGAAACAGCAGTATTTGGGGTCATGTTAAAGGAGGCAGAACAGAGAAAAGCTGGAAAAGAAGTTAATGGGGAGAGTTTGCATGGGGAAATTGTCTTAAGTAATATCAAATGAAGCTGAAGAAGGTGCAAATAAAAATACCTGGCCATGACAATAGATTTGAAGCAATAAAGGATACAGAAAATTCTGTGTTGGTTGAATAGGGGAGAAGTAGAGGCTGCAATTGGAGGTATTTCCTGAAAGTAATAACACTAGGATGCTTAAAGGGAATTTTCATTTATAGTAAAGATGGGGAGACACTAAGTATGCTTCTGAGCTTAGCTTGGGAGAGGGGCCGAGAGGAAAGATAAAAAGAAGATAATCCTTTTGAATAGAGGGACTTGGTGCAGCCCAGTCTTGGCTCCCAAGGATCCGTTCCCCCACCCCTCAGTTGTCCAGGAACCATTCTGGGCTCCACCCCAAGCTCTCTGTTGTCTTCCTGGGGGACCCCCCCACTGGTGTCATGGTTACCGAGCACCAGAGATGTAGAATAGTTGGAAGAGGTTTGAATTCTGAAGTGTGTGTGTGTGTGTGTGTGGCGGGGGGTGGGGTGTTCAGGCTAGACTTTCCCCTCCACCGGTCAGGAGTGGCAGCTCCCAGCCCCAAAGGAGGAGGTATGAGTGTACACTTGTCTTTTCCCCTTTGGCTGCCCTCCCTGTCACAATTAGTTGAAAACAATTGAGATAACTTTAGATAGCCCTTTACTGACATGGTTGGGCCACTGGGCTAAAGGTAAAATCCATTCTGGGGCCTCTACTACCTACAGGCTTTACAGGACAGGACCGTATTACCAAAACATAATGTGGCTGATAATGTCATCACTAGAGGACATGGTCAAATACTTCCTATCTACTATTTTAAAGTATAAGGGCAGTTTTATTGGCATTCCAGCAGTGGGTTTCTTGGTCATTTTCAAGGATGCAGCTCGATATTTATTTCTTCTCGAGTCTCAGCTTTTCTAAAATCAAATATTTCATTTGCTTTATAGGAATAAGATATTGATGAAAAGCCTTCAATGAGATTACAATGCCAGGAAAAAGGGTACGGCTATGATTACAGCTAATCGTAGAAAGGAGATTACTATCAACTACATGATTCCACTGGCTACTGAACTCCAGACTGGTAGGGTGCAGCAGACCCCCAACAGTGCCTGCTGCCTCGTCTGTTGGGATACAGTTTTATGTTTGAAAGTGGAAAAGTATTTCGCAAATTATCATTTATTGCAATTCATAAGATGAAAACGTCAATTCTATCAAATGACTACCCTTNCCACCCCGGATGCTGTGTTTGCTTCCTGGACCAGAATTGCAGCCAGAGCTGGGAAGATGGAGGAGGCAGAGGAATCACCACAGGAGGCCTCTGGTAAGCCCAATATTAAGAGCTGGTCCTGGTTCAGATGAGGAAATAAGTTTAATTGATATTCACCTTTGATCAATTTTAGGGTATATCAAAATGACTTGAAGGGCTGGTGATTGATTCCTGGGACCCTCCACCCACAAAGTTTCTGATTCAGGACTGAGGTAGAACCTGGGAATTTGCATTTCGAACAATTTCCCAGGCATTGCTGATGATGCAACTTGGGGTACCACTCTCAAAGGACCACTGCTGTAAATTACTGATGTCATCAGAAGGGGATAGCAATCTGTTTGGATTCATTTCTTTCCTCTTTAAGAAATTAGAAGTAAAGGCAGGTTCTAAAATCAACTACCTGAGCTTGATCCCAGGATCTTCTAGCATCTATTAAGTGAGTGACATTAACAAATTGCTTAAACTAGTTCCCAGTTCTCTTATTATAAAATAGGTTAATAATACCTATAATACCTACCTCGTAATGTAAGAATTAGAGGATACAATTAAGGAAGACCATAAACTGGTTAGCAAAAAGATATGATGCCTGTTCAGAGTTGACACCCCCAAACCTATTTCATGATGGCCATCCCAGGCAACTCTGGTTTCCCAGTTCTCTTATTATAAAATAGGTTAATAATACCTATAATACCTACCTCGTAACGTAAGAATTAGAGGATACAGTTAAGGAAGACCATAAACTGGTTAGCAAAAAGATATGATGCCTGTTCAGAGTTGACACCCCCAAACCTATTTCATGATGGCCATCCCAGGCCACTCTGGTTTAGTCTTTCTATTGAAGGAAACGAGAAGACATTGCCCACAAATATGCCTCTTTGACATAAAAAATTATTTTGAACTGCAGGCAATTAAAATGAAAACGCCTCTCAAAACTTCCCCTGTTTTGCTTAAAGACAAGATATAAGTTATTTTGCTGGAGAGGTACTCAACTGAGAGATGGTACTAGAGGAATCTGCATGCAAACAAACCTTCCTCCATTATTTTCCTCCCATATATTGGGTTGTCAGAAAAGTCATGACGCATTTTTTGCAATGAAAAACATACAACAAATACATCATGACTTTTCCGACAACCCAATATTTACCTTCCTACAGTTTGACACCCTTGGGGGGCCTAAAACTGCCATCCTTTGTTGTCATTTCTCTAAATTTATTCTTTGTAGAAGATGTTATAAGATGGAATTCTAAGCCGCTCTTTTTTCTTCGTTTTTGTTGTGTTTTCCCCTGCATCATGTACACTGCATGCATTAATAAAGGTTTTCTCTTGTTAATCTTTTTGTTAGAGTCCCAGGTGAAAGCCTGAAGATGGGTAGAGGTAAAGTTTTTACCTCCCCTATACTATCATTGACCCATTTGCAGCTATACTACTTCCCACTATTTTTTGTTTCTAAAGTTGTAAAAAGAACTGTTTTGCATTGTTTTGTACAGGGGAACAGAATAGAGTAGGTTACATTAGAATTCCAGAGTTCATATCTTAAGGGTTAGCACTTGAGAAAGACAGTAGAATCAAAGGCTATGATGCAATCTCGAACATGATAATTGGGTCTTGCTCTGTTCACATTTACCTCTTTCCTTCCCCAGGTGTCAGGTGGTGTGTGGTCCATGGGCGAAGTCTCCCTGCAGATAAAGAGGGTTGGGTCCAGCTACAGTTTTATGCTGGGCAAAG